TGCTGAAATATTGGGAAGAAAAAAGTGTTTTGTTATGTATTCTTCAATTCAGAAAAATACGCAATAGATCTACAAAGAAAAGCTCCATGAAGATTAATTTTCTCGGGGCGCCTGGGTGGCTCAGTGGGTTAAAGCCTCTGCCTTCAGCTCGGTCATGGTCTCAGGGTCCTGGGATCGAGCCACGCATCAAGCTCTCTGCTCAGCAAGGAGTCTGCTTCCTCCTCTCTCTCTCTCTCTGCCTGCCTCTCTGCCTACTTGTGATCTCTATCTGTCAAATAAATAAATAAAATCTTTAAAAAAATATTAATTTTCTCTAGAGATATACACTTTAATCATTAGCATACTTGGAAAGTATCTTGCTCTTCCTGATATCAAATACAACTGCATGCTGGAGAAGAGAGGACAGTTTCCTGCTGATCAGATCTGTCGTATGCTCAAATGTGTAAGTCACAGAGAAAAAGGTACGAACCATTGCTTTACAAAACAGAAATTGCTTGCAAGAAATCAAAGTTTTCCAAAAGAAAAACGGCTTTTCCCAGGGAAATAATAAAATTGATGAAATCATTGATATGGACAGATATAAACAAAATCAAGGACTCCTCTCCAGAGAATACAGTAATATTTGTTAATAAATATGATTGGGGGGAAAAAACTTTCCTCAAAATATTACCTAAAAAAACCATAAAACATCAAAAATAGGATTTAGATGAAAAGCACACAAAATACTTTACCAAAAACATGTAAGCAAATAATTGAGAAAAATGCATATATTCCTGGTGACAAATAACAGGTACTAAAATATGTCAATTAACTCCATTTTAATGTATAGATTCACTGCATGATAACACTATAGTTCAACTGGGGGGAGGTGTATTGTAAGCGGTGAAAGGGATGTGACCAAGTGATTCTCAAATTAATCTAGGAGAATAAGAAGAATGTAAATGGTTAGCATAGATTAAAAAGAGGATTTTAGAGAACATACACGTTCAGTGGAAACTATGCCATACTACTATATCAATTATAGTAATCAGGTCAATGTCGTATTGGTTCAAGACAGAGAAAAAGAAGAAAAGGAGGGGTGAGAATCTAGACCCCAGCGACAGAGCTTAGTATTTACAAAATATATTATTACATGATAAAGGTAGCCTCCAAAATATGCTAGGAAAAAATAGATGTTATGGACTAAATATTATGCCCCCCAAATTAGTATGTTAGACCGCTAACCCCCAGTGTAGCTATATCTGGAGAGGAACTCCCATAGATATTTAAGGTCAAATGAGGAAGGGCCCTGATCTGACGGGCTCGGTATCCTTATAAAAGGAGTAGGAGACACTGGAATGCACACTGAGAAAAGGCCATGCGAGGACATGGTGAGAATATAAATCAAGAAGAGAGTTCTCACCAGAAACCAACCACGCTGGCACCCTGATCTCAGAATTTCAGCCTCTAGAATTGTGAGAAAATTAATTTCTGTTGTTTAAGCACCAGTCTATGACACTTCATTATGGCAATCTAAACTGAATAAAATAAGAGATTAATACAATAATGTTATTGGAAGTGATGAGTCATTTTAAAAAATAATTAAAGACAGACTCCAAGGAGTGCCTGGGGGGCTCAGTTAAGCACTACCTCTTGGTTCTGGCTCAGGTCATGATCTCAGGGTCACAAGATCAAGCCCATGGCAGGCTCCACGCTCAGTGTAGAGTCTGGTGGGGATTCTCTCCCTCTCCCTCTGCCCCTCCTCCCACTCACGTGTATGTATGCCCACTCTCTTTATCAAATAGATAAATAAAATATTTTTTTTTAAAAGATAGAATCCTGGGGCACCTGGGTGGCTCAGTGGTTTAAACCTCTGCCTTCAGCTTGGGTCATGATCTCGGGGTCCTGGGATTGAGCCCCGCATCGGGCTCTCTGCTCAGTGGGAAGCCTGCTTCCCCCCCTTCTCTCTCTCCCTGCTGCTCTGCCTGCTTGTGATGTCTCTCTCTCTGTCAAATTAATAAATAAAATCTTAAAAAAAAAAAGACCTCACACCCTATACTAAACTTTTTATGTCTCTGATATATATGTAAAAAAGTAACTGTACAGAAATACTAAAATAGGGACAAATAACTACATATTCTTTGGAACAAGGAAGACATAAATTGTCAAGCTAAAAATCAATATATTTACAAAAAATTTTAAACTTCTGTAAAGCCATGGAAAAGAAAAGTTAGAGACACATAAAATTAAGAAAAAATATTCGCAGCCTATATACCACAATAGAGATTAACATTCAAATTAAAAGCTAGCATCCATTTTTTTAATTAATAAATAATAAAATATTTTTAAACTATAAAATATAAAGGCAGTGCATATGAACAGGAAATTTTAAGAAGATATACAAACAACTAAAAAAGAGACTTCTAATTTCAGTATTAATCAAAGAAAAACATGTTAAGATACAATTTCTGACACATTAGGAATGATTTTTTGTTGTTTTTTTTTAAGATTTTATTTATTTATTTGACAGAGAGAAAGAGATCACAAGTAGGCAGAGCAGCAGGCAGAGAGAGAGAGAGAGAAGGAAGCAGGCTCCCTGCTGAGAGGGAACTCTATGCAGGGTTGGATCCCAGGACCCTGGGATCATGACCTGAGCCGAAGCAGATGCTTAACTGACTGAGACACCCAGGCACCCCTCATTTTTTAAATAAAAATAAGTAACAAGTGGTAGTATGTACATAAAAGTGTAAAAAAAATTTTCAAGTCATAACATAGTTACAGGACTTTTTTTTAAGTCTCAGAACAGGCAGGAACTTTTATATTTTTAAATATGCCAGACTTTATTATGACAAAAGAATAAAATGGTAAAAATGTCAGATGAAGTCCTAGGTCACATACAAGCAATGACAGAAATTTTTAAATTAGATAGATATACAGGGCACCTGGGTGGCCGAGCTGGTTAAATGTCTGCCTTCGGCTCACGTCATGATCTCAGGGTCCCGGGATCCAGCCCCACGTCAGGCTCCCTACTCAGTGGGGAGTCTGCTTCTTCCTCTGACCCTCCCCTCTGCTCATGCACTCGTTCTCATTCTCTCTCTCTCTCTCTCTCTCCCTCAAATAAATAAAATCCTTTTTAAAAAGATCAATATATAAATAGGCAAATATTTAAAATTTCTAAATACTAAAAAAGAAACCATAAATAAAAATAAAAGGAGAAAAACACTGGAAATGTATTCAATGACATATCCTCTTTGGTTTCAAATTCATATATTAACCAAAGTCCTACACCATGCAACTTGGATAACACAAAGGCAGAGTAATCATATCCAAAGGAAACTGATGACCTCACCACTCCAAACCATCAAAGGGAAAGAAACCATAAACCTAGGTATTACCTTGATATGCTTTTAATGTTACATTTTACATTTAATCCAACACAAAATAAAATAAATCTTACTGCCTAAAAATCTCTCCAATTCATCCACATCTTTCCACATCTACTATCGCCCTTGGTCCAGCTGTCATTATCTCTTGCCTGAATATTAGACTATCCTACTAATTGTTCTACCCACATTCTTTCTCATCACTCATCCATAATTTAGCCAGAATGGAAATCTGATTTTCTCACTCCAATTTACCCTACCCCCCACAGTGAACACATACACACTCCATTCAACCCAGTGCTTAAAGCATCAAATAAGTCTTGAGTAATACGATATCTATCTACTTTTTTATTTTTACTTCATACCATGCCTAACTTTCTACGTTCCGTGTTCTGCCCACTCTGAATATTTTTCAAGTCCCTAAAACGGCTACAATCCCATCAATTACAGATTTTACACATGGTATTTACTCTGGAACACTTGCTGATGGAGAGATAAGAAAGCTGAGGTGTCACGGATTACTTAAGTTTCTAGCTGGCACAACTAGATGGATACTAGAGCCATTTACAGAAATATTCTAGACACTAAATTATCTCCTATTATTAACTCCTCACTATCATTCCTCAAACAGTTCAGATAGAAAAGTACCCTCAAAGCTTGTGTACTACCATCTCTTATACCTAGAATTCCCTTTTAATTGATCTTTCCTTAAATAGTGTCTCCTTGATCTTCTGATCTCAGAATGCCACTTCTGATCAACTAATCAAAACTAAGCACCCTGTTGTCCTAACCTATCACTGTTTTAATTGCATTATATTATCACTATCTGATATTATTTATTTGTTTATTGGGAACCTCCCCAATGAAAATAACTTTCTGAGAGCAAAGACTTCATCTATCTAGTTCACAGTTGTATTCCCACTGCCAACACATAATCAATGTTTAAGAAGTATTGGATAAATGATTAATTCAGAGCCAACATTATCTATCTGAAATAAAGCGGATTATCATCAAAAATTCATGCTTTGATAAAATATATCAAAATCATGGGAACTCACAATTAGGTAACTTATTGATATGTTGTATGCATTTTTTTTTCAAAAAATAAGAATAAAACTGCGAACTCCAAACCAGTATTGATTGGCATTATAGAAGGCAATAGAGAGTAGTGGCTGAGTATATGGGCTCTGGAGTCCTGTCTCTGGATTCGAATCCAAGCTCTACCACTTACTGTGTAACAATTAGTCTGGTTACTTAACCTCTCTGAGATTCAGTTTCCCAGACCATAAGGTAAATATAATTAATAATACCTATACCTTATGAAATATATATGAAGTGCATATACCAACCCCTGACACAGAAGATTTCAATAAATGTCAGCTGTTGTCTTTTTTTGGTTTGTTTTTTGGGTTTTTTTGTTGTTTGTTTGTTTTATTACAGAGAGCATCCAAAAAAAACGGGCTCAGTATTAAAAAGGATGGCAATTTGAAGTGACTACTTCCATATGTCTTTGAGAGAGATAGCTCCAAGCAGGTGATTCCACACAATACATCCTTGCTGATTTTAAAGCAGTACAACACTGACCAGTACACAGATACTCAGCAGTAAGTGAGAATATCTCGCGGGCGTCTTACGTACCGAGTGGGTGCGGAGTGCCGCGATGGTTTTTGAAAGTGCCATTTCCCAAAGTTCATCAATGTAGGCTCTATTCACTAAGCCTTGGGTTGTATGTAAAATGTGATCTTCAACCACAAAAAAACTAAGATGAAGGAAAAAAAAGAAAGTACAGAAATTACAGAAAAGTACAGAAAGTTCAGAAATTACGGGTTGACTACCATCTCTGGGGTCTCACAAACATTAAGACCGGCCACCAAATTCGAAGTTAATAGTCACTTTTCCTTAAAGAAAGCTACTAGGTGTTGTAAACAAAAATCACATTTCTTGGACTTAGAATTTTGTCCAACCACTTTATAGAAATCAGAGTCCCATTTCTATTAAATGTTAACTGGGTCAGCAATTTAAAGGGGAAGAAAATATTTATAGGTAAGGGAAGCTAATTCAACTATATTAAAAACGCCAGGCCATTAAGACATTTTAAAAAATTAATCGATTTTTTAAATTAATTGATTTTTAAAGAGACAATGAAAGCTGAAACACACATTTTTATAAGAGCCACACATACAAAATATCAAAATGATTCCCTTTATGTGGACTTACTCATTATAGGGTTGAAAAGGTTTTTTAATAAAGGTCAAAAAAATGCACACTTATTTTTTAACACTCTGTTGTAGCTTTATTGTTGTGCATTTACAACATATCATTAGCTCCCTTGGCTAAATGTTCATACTAAATTATTTCTTTAAATAAGGAACTCTTATGATATATTTTAATCAAAACTATCAAAAAAAAAATCTAAAGTCTGAAATAAAAAAGCAATTTCATGGAACAATCCAACTCCTTTTCCTTTCTTTTAACTTCGAGGTCATTATTTTGCAAGTAGAATAAGCTGCCTATATTTGGGGTGTTTATTTGGGAAATGCAATTCCATATTAGTATATATACTCTAGATGATGGTGACAAACTCTATAGCCCATGGGATGAATCTGGCCCACTGCCTGTTTTTATAAATATTGTTTTACTGGAACACAGCCACGTTCACTCATTGATGTATTGTCTATAGCTGCTTTCACATTGCAACAACAGAGCTGAATGGTTGTGACAGAAACCGTATGGCCTGGGAAGCCTAAAATACTTTACTAGCTGGCCCTTTTAGAAAAAGCTTGCCAACTTTTGCTGATTATTTGGTTCCCTCTTACCAAGAATGGAGAAACCAAACATCAAGGGTAATAAAATTACAATTCAAAGTTTTTTCTCCCTTTCTCCACCAAAACTACTCTCCAACAATATAATGCTGAAACCAATAAGACATTCTTTTAAAATTATCAGAAAGTCAAAAATAAATCTCAAGAATTTAAAATAAAAAAAGAAAAAGAATTTCCCAAGGAAAACTTATTTTTCCAAGTCTCCCGAATCTAGGTGTTCAAAGTGTACAAATTTAAATACATACACACATATATACCTACCCTACAATTTGATTAAAATACTTCCTGTAGCCATCTAAAGTTTCATGCTGCAACAAAGCAAAGAAGAAAAAAGTTATTCTTTCTATTTTGATACATTAAGACAAAGTTAAAATCAGTTACTTGATTTCTTAAGGCTCAGTTCCCAAGACGTAGGTGAATATAACGATAGTACCCTACCTTATAGGGTTACAATGAGGATGAAATGATATCATTCATCCCAGTCCTTAAAACAATGCCTGACACACAGCAATCAATAGATGTTAGCTACTATTTTCCTACCAACACATCCACCAAAAATGATCTCAGAGCGAGTTTAAAAAAAAAAAGTACCTATGCAAAATAATGAACAGCCGCCAGAGAAGACAAGTGAAAAACTGAGGAAAGTTAAGCTGGTGATCCTACCATGTTAGATGGAGGCTGGAGCACCAAGCGGGCCTGTTTTCGCCTCTGTTTTCGGTAGTAGTTCTCAAATGTTTCCCGGGCACCCTGTAAAATAAACAAAAGGAAATGGGTTGACACAATTTGACCAATTATTCTAGTATTTCGTGGGAAAAGAAAAGCTCCCAAGACCCCACAGTTCTCAAAATCTGCTATTTTGACAATGATAAAATGATAAAATGACATTTTATCATAAAAAAAGATAAAATGACATTACCATTTATTGAGACTTACCTACAAATCCCGTAAGAATGGATACAAAAGATTCTTAAGAGGACACTACAGAACTCAACCACCAAACACACCAAAGCTGGTTGCTCAGTCAACTATCACAAATTCACAAGAATGAAGACAAACCAACATTCTCCTAAGAGCAGTTGAGAAAATGTTCCTTAAAAACCTCACAGAACATTCCAGAAGAAAAATGTTCAGAATGAAAACCAGTCTCAAATGAATCATGAGCAAAGGGCCAGAGGGAGGCAGGAAAAAGGCAGAGAACAGTGAATCAGTCTTCCAGCTAGCATATAATCAAGCACAGGATTAACACCAAAAAGGAAATTCTCGGTGCACAGTTTCTTAAACTGAAAGGTGCTTCGGAGAACCAGAGCTGGGTCATGAGCTCTGTAACTAGGCTGAACAGCAGCCTCTCAAAATTCATGTCCTTCCTGGGATGTCATAAAGGGACCTTATTTAGAAATAGGGTCACAGCAGATGTATTTAAATTAAGAGGCAGTCACATTAAATAGAGTAGGCCGCCCCTTAATCCGATATAACTTGGGGTCCTTAAAAGAATAGGAGAAAAGACATAGAGATAGATACACAGGGAGAACATCCTGTGAAAACACCGGCAGAGACTGGAGCCCCGGTCTGCAAGCCAAGGACACCAACGATTGCTGGCCACCACCAGAAGCTGGGGAGAGGCCAGGAAGGATGCCCCCAAAGTCTCAGAGGGAGGATGGCCTTTTGACACCTGCTTTTGGATTTCTAGTCTCCAAACCTGGGACGGAATAAATTTCTGCTATGCAAGCCACCCAACCCGCGATACTTTGTTCCAGCAGTCCTAGGAAACCAAGATAACTCAAAGCTTTTAAAACATGATGCCCCTAGGGGGCGCCCGGGTGGTTCAGTCCATTAAGCTTCTGCCTTGGGCTCAGGTCATGATCCCAGCGTCCAGGGATCCAGCCCCCCATCTGGCTACTTCTCCTTCTGTCTCTGTCGGCTGCTCGTGCTGGAACTCTGTCTCAGTCAAACAAAGAAGTAAAATCTTTAAAAAAAAAAAAAAAAAAAGAAAGAAGGAAAGAAAGGAAGGAAGGAAGGAAGGAAGGAAGGAAGGAAGGAAGGAAAAGAAAGAAAGAAAGAAAGAAAGAGAAAGAAAGGAAAGAGAGAGAGAAAGAAAGAAAGAAAGAAAGAAAGAAAGAAAGAAAGAGAGAGAGAAAAGGAAAGGAGAGATGCCGCCTAGGACTAAATTCTACTCTGAATCCAAGACCTTTCTCAATGAATAAGAGTAGAAATGGGGAGATAGCATTCATGGTGGTTAAGAGCACCAATTTTGGAACCGGTGATGATTTCATTCAAATCGTGAGTCTGCGCCTTTCTAGCTGTATAACTCGTATGACCAGCTGTGTAACTTTCACTAATTTACCTTCCACCATTTAAGTCTTTGGCCTTCACTAACAGATGTGCTATGGTGTCCTCATCCGTGGAAATGTCATGCTCATCATTGTCATGAGGATTCAGATGAGCTAGAAAGCTTTGAGAATGGTGTCTGATAAATAATCACCACTACGCATGTGCTTATTTTTTCAAAAATGAGATGAAATAGATCAATGATGACAATGACTGCCTCGCCCATGCGAAAAAGTATAAACTCTACACAATCCCTAAGTTCAGTTCCCTCACCTTCTCAGAAGTCTGAAGAATCCTATTCAATGTGACTTCTCTGTTAGATCCCTAAACCGGAGAAGCTGATTTAAGTACTAAATCACACTAACTCAATAGCCTAAGCTCAGCGGTTGGCAAACGTTGCCTCTAAAAGGCAGGATGGTAAATATCTCAGTCGTGGAGAGCTCTACGGTCTCACCTCTGCTGTTGAAATTCAAAGGCAGCCACAGCCAATACATACGTGAGTGTGGCTGTGTTCCAACAAAACGTTATTTGGGGAAACTGAAATCAGAATGTCATATAATTTTCATCTGCCATGAAATATTCTTTTATTTATTTATTTATTTATTACCAACCATTTAAAAATGTAAAAGCCATTTGGAGTTCACAGGGGTCACATCGAAATAAGCAGCAGGGTGGCCATGGCCCATGGTTTGCTGACCCCTGGTGTAGCTTAAAAACAACGGTTTTAAAACGCTAACGAGATTATAACTGTAGACACCTGAGTTTTTCCTGCTATAAAATGAAATCAAACATTAAGACAGCTATTTCAGGGCTTACTTATTTCTTAGTCCACAAGTTAACGAGGTAGCAAATGGTTCTATTTAAGAAATAAGAAGTGGAAACTGCCTGTTGGTTTGTTAAAGTTATTCCCCACTCGTCACCATTTCTCAGCTTAGTGGTACTATTGAATGTCAATTACATTCTGTACACACTGAAGGGCTTTTCATTGTACAGTTAACAGCCCTAAAGGCCCTTTATTATTCTTGTGTGACATTACACATTCAACATGCTTTGGAGCCAAGATACACTCAGCTGAGAATTTAGGGAAAGTCTTCCCTCAAATTAGACCATTGTATAATAATTTAATTATTTGCTGTAAAAGATAGAAAATATACAAGATGAAATTCTATATAAAAACCTATCATAGACCTCTACATAGTTCTAACTAGATACAATTTGCCTTTCAAATATTCATTTGCTAAAATAAAAACACAAGAAAAGACCAATTTATCTAATAATTCTGGTTTCTCCATTTACAAAATTCGATTTTCCCTAATGGCTGCTAAATAAATTCACCTCTGAGTATTCTATTTCCTCTGCCAATTTTGTCAACTCAATGCTTACAGGTGGAATTTACAGTAGATGTCTGACCAGTCCAGCTGGATGTCTGTCTTTTCCCAAATAGATCAACAGATGAACTATAAAAGTTTGCCACTTCAGTTTCAAGCTCCTCTAATCATTAATATTAATTAAAACAAAACTTAAAAGCTAGTGAAAGTATAAGCAAACAGATACAAAATAACAGGCAAGTGAAAAGTTGTTTTAGTGTGTTTTCAATTTATGTTATTAGTATTACGGTGGTCCAAAAGCTTTGTAATAATTAATAAACACAAATTATCACAGAAAAACAAGTCACTTTACGTACATAAAGTGCTTACCATACAATAAAGAATAGTTCTTGTCATCATTGAATTTATAGTCTGTAGTGGAAAACATAGCAATTAAATGAACAAAAAGTACAACAGAATCCTATAGACTGGAGAGAGAGAGAGAGAGAGAGAGTGTGTGTGTGTGTGTCTGTGTGTGTGCATGTGTGCATGTGTGTCTACATAGTGGGCGGGAGGAATGTCAGAGAAAGTTTCTTCAGCAAAAAAAAGCCATTTATATTCATAATTGAAGAATGAGTCAGAATAATGCACATAAAAAGAAAGGGAAAACGATTTCTCATAGAGACACAGGGGTTCAAAGAAAAAAAGGCATCATGTATCCCATGAACTGAAAGAAGTTCTTCACGGAAGAACCTTTGGAGTGTAAGAGAGAAGAATGACAAGAAATGAAGGCTAGAGGGCTTTGTAAATTCTGTTAAGATATCTGGACTTCAACTCTAGAGACAATCAGAGTTTTAGACATTTGCAAGTTGCAATGTACTGAGTAGAATGAAGAAAGGGAACCTTAGATACAAAAAGATCAGTCTCCGGGCGCCTGGGTGGCGCGGTGGGTTAAAGCCTCTGCCTTTGGCTCAGGTCATGATATCAGGGTCCTGGGATGGAGCCCCGCATTGGGCTCTCTGCTCAGCAGGGAGCCTGCTTCCTCCTCTCTCTCTGCCTACCTCTTTGCCTACTTGTGATCTCTCTCTGTCAAATAAATAAATAAAATATTAAAAAAAAAAATCAGTCTGATCCTGACATATATTTAGGAGGTACAAGTTGATGACTGATTGGATACTGGTGGTAAAGGACAGAAAAGACAGAAAGCTAACGTCAGATTTCTAACCTGGGTAATTGGTTTGATGGTGGTGTCATTTAATGAGAGAGAAAACATAACAGCTGGGATATGTAGTCAATTACTATTCATGGATTCCATATTTGCAAATGTGCCTACCTGCCAAAATTTATTTGTAACCTCAAAATCAATACTCATGCTGTTTCATTATCATTCACACATGAGTACAGAGTGTTGAAAAATTTGAGCAGTGCCTACTGCACGTGTTCCTAGCTGAGGTCAAACAAGGCCAACACTCTGTCTCCTTTCTTCAGTTCTCATACTATAAACAATTATTTTTTTTCACAGTCATCCAGTGCCTCATTCTTTGTATTTTTGTGCTTTTTAAAAACTGAGATATAACTGACATATAACATCATATTATTTTCAGGTATACAACATAAAGTTTCAATATTTATATATATGGCAAAATGACCATCACCATAAGTCTAGTTAACGCCTATCATCACATACAATTTTTTTCCCCCTTGGGTTGAGAACTTTTAAGATCTACTCTCTTAGAAATTTCAATTATCCAATATTATCCAATAATAATAATAAATAAGTATTATTAGCTACAGTTACCATACTATACATTATATCCCTCAGACTTACTTATTTTGTAACTGAAAGACTATTCCTTTTCATTGCCTTCACCCAAATCTGCCATCCTCCACTTCTGGCAACCACCCATCTCTCTATTTATGAGCTCAGTTGGGTTTTCTATTTATTTATTTAGTTCCATATATAAATGAGATCACACAGTATTTGTCTGTGTCTGACGTATTTCACTTAGCAGAATGCCCTGAAGGTCCAGAAATATTGGCAAGATTTCATTCTTCTTCACAGCTGAATAATACTCCTTTGTATAGATAGATCCCACATGTTCTTTATCCATTCAT